GAGAGAGAGAGAGAGAGAGAGAGAGAGAGAGAGAGAGAGAGAGAGAGAGAGAGAGAGAGAGAGGGGGTACGTTGTGAAACGTCAAAGCAATGTGCCAGGATATGCACAATAAAGATGCACCTTATCTTATCTTATCTTCTCCTATCTTCTCTTATCTTCTCTTGCTTACTTACTAACTTACTTTTTAAAAACTTTTCCTTTGTTCTTACTCTTCTTTCATTCTCTTCATTTTTCTGGCATTCATTCATTACTTCGTTCTATTGGCTCGCCCTCCTTCCATTCTTTTACGTTTTTATTTGCAGCAAACTACCAGTACTCACTTTGACAAGGAGTGAAGAAGACTGGTCTTCCCAACGTTGAAATCTCCCAGCAGAATGACCTTGACCGCGACGTCGAAGCTCTCCGGCCGGATGAGGTCACTAGGGGGCGGTGGAAGTCTGTTCCTCCGCCGTGGAGGAAAGGTCAAGGACATGGACGTGTCACTTATTCCAGTCACCGAAGAGTACGAGTTGGCCAATGGAGAACATCCCAACTTAGGAGGCGAAACACAACCGGTCTTTCGTTGGGGGAACGATGAGGGGGAAGATGGTGATTTGTGGAGCGATGTGGAGAAGTGGAGGGGCGGAGACAACAACTGCATTGGCTGAAGCTCCGCCTTTATGGGTGACGAGATGGGGGATAACTGTGGCGAGTTGGGGAAGAGGAAAGCCGTAGAATCTAGTCTCGACAATGGGGACTCTGGGGATTTGGTGGGCGAAGAACTAAGAGATACGGACGAAAAGGGAAAATCTCGTGGAGTAGAAGGAACAGCAAGTCGATGGCATCTCGGTTTAGGGGAGGGACTTTGCTCTCCGATTTGCCATTGTTGATTGAGACGATTTAATTTCGTATGACTGTAAAAAACCTCATCACTATCTGTGCTCGCTTCATTGTACTTACTGTAAATATCGAGGTCTTTCTCCTTGTCAACTTCGGCGAATTCACTGTCTACTGATTCAAAAACCCTGCTAGAGCTGTTGTTTCGCGCATCGATGTCATCACCTGAGATCTCACCAGGTTTGAAGTCACAGTAATCGAGTCTTTCTTTGAAGTCTTCATCGCCACTGCAGCTGATGTCGTTGTGGTTGCTGCTGAGTGCGGAGATGTCTTTGAGCTCCACAGGCTCTCTCATCTCCTCAATGTTGCTGAGAGGTTCCATGCACGTTGTTTTCGCTCAGCTCTTTCTCTCACAACTGAAGAGATCCAAACACAAATAAAAGAAGTTGCATTCCCCTGCTTATCCAGTGCATGCAGGTGTTGAATATTAAATCCATTAATATCGAATCTGTAGATATTTTGGTTCACGAACGAAGGCGCCTCCCACGTCAACAATGCGGTGGTATGCCCATAGTATTCAAGTTTATCTAATATCAATTTTGAAATCTAAGGCACCCGTTTTAGCAAAGGCACAACATTCCTGCAGTGCGTTGTGCAGCTTGTAATTCTGAGGCTTGGTGATGCCGTTGGGTTTTGTTATTGTTGTAGTAGTTGTTGTTGTTGTTGTTATTGTTTTGATAGGCTACGGGCTTTCCATTTTGAATAGTGAACAGAACCAAGTAACTCAGAAAACACACCCACTGATCTTTCCTCCAAATGTAAAACCAGTCAGTCTGCTCAAAATGTGCAGCTCACAGTTCAGCTCGTTTATTAACAAGCCGAACTGGAGATCTTGCACGACAGTGTCAGGGCCAACTCAAAGTGAAAAATGAAATGCAAATTCTATTGCGCGATGTAGAATATCAAGCCATGTGAAGCTGACATTAAGCTGGAAATGCAAATCTCTCCCCTCCCACAAACTGTTTCTAAATTTGAACGTAATTAAAGCTGTATGTTACTGCATCTAACGTCATGAATATTCACATCAGCTGACAGAGATAAGATGTTTCAAAGATTACGACGAGGGTGGGGTTAGTCCTCGAACCCCTGTTAGATTTCACTATTGCCAACAATTTTTGGCCCAGTCTTAGCCCTGCGCTCTCCTCTGTCAGATAATACGTCACCTCCAGAAACAGTTTTGGGCTTTTCCTCAGGATGCATACAAATATTAGTTATACGCCGGCTGATTGCAAAGCTCTCTTCCACGTTTTAATTAGAGATCCTCATTAAAAATACAAATATCCGGGAAGAAAAATCAAGATACCACGCTGTGTTGACTTTTGTTCTTTTGGAGACGCTTGAAAGTTTCATACTGTATTGAGTCATTAGAAATAACATGAGAATGATTTTGCTTTCAATCAGCCTTAGGAAAAGTCAGGTTATTCAAGTATTCTGACAAATACCAGCTATGAAACTCTTCTGTTGTTTGTAGTATTATCTTTTTTAAAAAGTGTGCCAAGTATCGAAAAAAAAACCCAACTAAACAAACACACAGAAACAATTCTGGACGACCAGATGTTTTTGTGTCCTGTTTTTTTTTTCAGGTGAATGTGTACGGGTCAATTGTAGAGACTATTGCTTTCCAAGTCCACGGGTTCACCACGGTATTAAATACATCATAGAGTCCTGAGGATGATGGCCATTAAATACACTTCCGTTATCCTAGAACACAAGACAGAGCTAATTGCGTCTTAGTTGTCTAGCGAAAAAAAAAATGAAGTCCAAGTAAGGATTATCAAAAGGAAAGAGTCTCTTGAGAAGTGTTAGAATCTTACAACACACTTTGCGTCTATTAATAAGCAGTCTTCTTTGCAATCATTCAGGGGTTTAAAAGTCACTGTTGATGACATCACTGGTCTGCTGTCTCAGTTTTATTTTCTACGTCCAACACAACACATCTCTGAAAACTGAGTTAGAATTCCGGTACCAATTTAGAGAGTTCACATTAGCGTGATGCTGCGGCGTGTCACTATACAACCAAGAACTTCCTGTTCCATTTCTTCGTTCCATCCTTTGATTTGAAATACCATCCTTCAATTTGAAATTTCCAACCAATGTCAGCTAAAAACAGTTATCACTCGCTTTGATGATTTAACTTTTTTCTGTCCTCTGGCTGTTTCCTTGACGGTACACGCTCGCAAAAAAACGCCTTTGATGATATCCTAAAAGTTGTCTATGCTTCAACACACTACAACACTGGTAAGATGGTGTCGTCGGCTGTGCAGAGACGTGAATACAGCCACGACTACCACCCTACCACACGCTCATCTGACTCTCATGAATATTAAACAGAGCCTCGTGCATTCCTCCAGCGCACATTGCTTCGGGAAATAAACGCTTTGGCTCCTTTTCTTAAGATGTATCGATGGGATGTTTAACGATGTCCATTGGTCCAGATACCTGCGATGCTTTCTTTCAGTCTACGAGTAACTCGCTTTATGGGAATTGTCGGTTATTCGGAGCTTTGTGTGTGTGTGTGGCTTTTTGTTTTATTTGTTTTGCTTTGTCGAGGTCTTTTTCTTCTTTTTTTTCCTTCTTTTCTTTTTTTCTTCGTGCGGAGAAAAACTATCTCAGTTAGAAAATATCAAGGTGAAGGCCGGGTGGAACTTGTAGAAGGGTCACAGCGAAAGATGTACAGAAACGTGAAAAGAATTGAGAAATTGTCAAGAAGTTAACCCAATAAAAGAAAATGTCGTAGTGATTTCAGGGACATATACCTTGATCCAAATGTGAGAACGGCATTAATATTTAGGCTTAACGCAACTTTCAACACTGTTCTGTTGGGATTTTTAAGAGGCAGGAACTCCGAATTTATCGTCCATATTCGACAGGATTGAGCCAAAATCAGACGGAAGCCTTGAAACTATCCCATTATTCTCTATTAGTTGATTCTTATGTTGCATCAACTGTTTTGGGTTCTGCCCTCGATCATTGTCATTAAGAAAATCATATTATAATCAAGTTTCACAAATTCACTGCAGCAAGACAATAATAAAGTTTCTCTTAGAAGCGTCTGGGAAGATAAATAGCGCCTTTACAGAGTAACCATCACATCTTTCAAGTCAGTTTGGATAGATTTTCATTTTAGCAGTTGGGACTGGGGACAGCGCATAAAGTTGTACTTCGAGATAGCATTTCATAAACTGAGATACTTTTTGTATCAGTACAACACAGAGACCACCTTGAAGGAAAAACAGTTAGCCAGTATACAAATTATCATCACCATCATTGCCTATCTCACCTTGCACTAGGATAGAGGCCACAAACAAACACTTTCTACCTTTGTCTATCCTAGGCTAGCCTCTTGATGTTATTCCATGTCTTCCCACTTTTCTGTACATCAATATCTGTGATTCTTCTCCTGGTTCCACACGATCTTCCCCTTGATCTTTTACACTGTGGATTCCAATCCAACACTTTTCTTTGTTATGCAGCTGCCTTACTTCCTGAGAGTATGTCCACTCTATCGCCACCGCCTTCTTCCTACCTCATTTCTGACTGGGATATGTCTTATGTTCCTTAACACCTCCTCGTCGGAGAGACTGTCTGTTCATCTGATCCTCAGTAACCATCTTAGATGCGTTCCGTGTCTAACATACATACAACAGGACTGACTTCACATTTGAATTGAAAATCGTCAGCTTTGTTTTAAGTGAGATATCCCTAGTATTCCACATCCTATTCAAAGATTTGAAAGCAGTTTTTGCCTTTCCAATGCAGGACTTTTATTTCAGCACCTGTTCCTCCCTCTCTGATAATGATACTCCCAAGATAGCAGAAGGATTTAATGTCTTCTAGCGCCTTTCCTTCGGTTGTGGCCTTGTGCCTTCCCTTCGGTTGTGGCCTTGTGCCTTCCCTTCGGTTGTGGCCTTGTGCCTTTCCTTCGGTTGTGGCCTTGTGCCTTCCCTTCGGTTGTGGCCTTCTCGTTTCGTTTTGCATCTGTTTTCGGAACCTTTGACTTTCCGGGGTGGATCCTCAATCCAACAGACTCTGTAGGCTATTTAAAACTGAAGTATGTGCTTGCATCTGTTCCTAGGTGTGCAACAAAAACGCCAAGTCATCAGCAAAATCCAGATTGTCCAATTGTGTCCATGGGGTCCAGTGTATAGAATTTCTGTGTCCAATTGACTGCCAATACGCAAATAACCCAGAAGTAATCTCTTAGAATAGTATCGTAAGCGGGTAGTTGTCTATGAGTAAATAATTTTCCTGTTGCGTTTTTTTCTTCTAAAATTTTGTCTTGATCTCCACAAGTGAAGAAATGTCCATTGTACTGCAAATACCAACTCTAATGCAAACTTCTGTCTTTAAGTGGATTGTGCCGGTGTTTTTACGCCCCCTTGGGACTTCGGCTTGCGACGGCGAAGCACAACCTAACAATCACACCACATTGCAAACTTAAACGTTAAAGTTAATTTCACCACCCCCCAGCCATTATTTAGATGTTTTACGGGTCTTCTGTGCGTATCACCACAACTGCCCAAATAAACGTGGTTTTACAGATTTTGTAGGCCGTGGAAAAGCGGCGTAAGTCAAGTAAGTTCTGAATGAAAAGCTCAAAGATTTCTTTCACCCACACAGGCATCCATGATGTAGCGATTAGGCGGTTCGCTGTCTCGCACAGGAGACTCCAGTTCAATTATCGTGTGGGGAGAATATTTGTCGAGTGTCACGGTCTTCTTGCTAGGACGTTGTATCCCTGTCAGCCCGGATTGGCTCTGACAGGCAGGATCGGGAGCCTGCCTCGTAAATGATTTAAATTTTGTCTATGGAGACGTGAAAACACATGTATTATATGAGTTAAGTATTGCAACAACAACAATAACGACAGCAGCAGCAG